TGAAAATGCTCTCTGAAAAAGCTTCTATACAGATTTTGACCTACGACTACTGCCTTCATTGTCTGCTGGTGCTCAGTCCCCCATGGTCGCAAGGCAGACAGATTTATTTATTTGGTACTGGGAGTGGAACCCAGACACTTCTCACGGAGCTACATCCTCAGCAGCTTTTTGAGACAGGACCTCACTATTAAATTGCCCAGGGTGGCCTCAAGCTTGCTATCGTTCCTGCTTCAGGACACTGCTGAGCAGACCCTTCCGGCTGGCCTGAGCGCCAGCTAGAGGGTGGCTGCTGGCTGGCCAGGCAGGACTCCCTTCTTGCTGGGGTGCGCGCTCATCGCTATGCGGTTCTGAGGCCCAGGACAGAGGGTCTCCTGTTTCTCTTCTTGCTTCTCACATCAGCAGCTGTGCCCCGGCATTCCCACGGCACTTCCAAACCCAGGAGAGTTGGTCAAAAACCGAGTCTGAAGTTTTCAGACTCTTGCCATGTGACCCTGCTTCCTGGGGAGTGGGGTGATGTCCCCAGGAGCCAGAGTTCTTCCCGGACTTTGGGGATGGGAGGAGGCAGGAGAAGGGCAGTGAGAATTGATCAAGGCCACAGAAAGCTCTTGGCCCAGCCCAGTTCTGTCTGAGACAGGCTGTTGTTCTGGGGGTCTGCCTAGGCCACAGGAATGGTTTGAGATGAGGTGGAATCAATCCTCTGGCATCAAATGTTTTTACAAATTGTATCTGAATAGTGATCATCTTGTTAAAATTACTTTTGTTGTTATTGGAATAAGGATTTTTTTTTTCTCCAAATGCCTTCAGGGCAGGTTTGGCTGGCTTGAGTTGTGGGGATTGAACCACAGCAACTCGAGCCTGACTGCTTTGTTGAAGCAGCCACTTAAAGAACTGAGCTAAGGGCCAGGCCCCCCTTGTTGTTGTTGTTTTGATTTTGATTTTATTTATAGAGGGTGCTTTTTGAGACAGTTGCCTTATGCAGTTCAGGTTGGCCTTGAACTCATTTTGTAGCCCAGGCTGGTCTCAAACTGGCAGCAATTCTCCTGCCTTGGCCACCTG